GGGATCAAGGAATAAGGTAATTCTAGCTGCTGCTTCCTCCACCCCTAGACTAAACTATTATAACTCTTGCAGTGCAGGTGAGGGGGAAACTTTTTCAATTAACCCAGAGTTCACTTTTAAGCTGCGAATCAGGATTCTGCATCTGTGATTTCTCTTGTACATTCACCATGATTGCTGCAGTTTATGGCAGGTGCATCTTGCACAGCCATCCACGGTGATACATGTAAAAGAAACTCTATGGGGTCTAGTTATAAACAATTTGCAGGGCCCTTTGCCTGTGAGCCCACCTTATATAGAAGGGGGGCTTCAAATGATTGTCTTCTATGACTCCTTGCTCTTGCTAGCCAGGGGCAAAGGTTATGCATTGCATTATAGGTTGTTCTTTTTTTCTGGAAGCGAATCTGCAAACGATTGAGCAAAAGTTCAGACTTTGTGATTCAGGAGGATTCACAATGAAACCAAAGCCAAAGTCAGGAACTTCAATTATTGTTCACATGAAACACCAGATTTGGGGTGAAAAAATTGGAGGACTCTTGACGGGTTGGTTTGAGTATGCTGATCTCTGGGCATTTTCACACACAACAGTAGAGAGTTTAGTTTAGACATGTAAGCTGTGGAAAAATTTGTTTTGGTTCGGATATTTCGTTATTTCGGGAATCGGATCCGAAATTCAATTTGGTTCGGGTTTCGGACAAAATCCAAATTTTCTTTATTTTCGGATGAGTTTACGAATATTCGCTACGACTACCACAGTAAAACCATATACCGATATTAATACTAAAGCTGAGGCTCATAGACCGGAATGGCATTCGGGATCCGAATTTCAGAATTGGAATTCGAAAATTCGGATCCAGAAAGCCATTCAGGTCTGGGAGCATCAGTAATATATGTATATGGCTCCCAGACCCGAATGGCATTCGAGATCCGCATTTCATTTAGGAGCTCCTAAATGAAATTCGGGTCTGGGAGCCTCAGCTTTAGTAATATATGTATATGGCTCCTAGACCAGAAGCAGAACCCGCCGGACCACAGGTAAGAGGGCACCCCTGGTCCCAGACCAGAACCTGCCGGACCCCAGGTAAGAGGGCACCCCTGATCCCACCACAATCTCCTGGGATTTGTACACACAGCAGTAAGGCCGGGAGCTGGATTCGAGGATGAATTTCTCCAAAATGCTGATACAGAGGTGAGTGAGGGCTTGTTTCAAAGTGCTTTTAATGCTTGTTTAGATTATGTTATTCTTGAATGTGCAATACGTGGGGAACAGGGTTGCTTTAAGAGACCAAAGGGGAACAAATAAGTAATTTTTTTGAGTTATATACACTTTAAAAAAAATGCAATAACGTTGCCAAAAAAGGTATTTTCGCTCAAAAAAAGGCTTTTTAAGCATTATTCTCGGAAAATGAATTTGATGCATTTTTGACCCAATAAAAAAGCTTTTCCCGTGCGAATTGGTGTGTAATATTCTCGGAAATATGCCGGTTGGGTGTAAGATGTCATGGCTTGGGTAGTCTTGCGGTCTGTAAAACATAACCCGTGGATGTCTCATGGAATATAACACAGGTCAGTCTATCAACACGTCTTGGCGGGAACCCATTGTGCACCGCTAGAACAATCGTCACACCCGGCCGTATCTATATAAGTTTTCTGATGTATACGTTCCCCTTTCAGAAGAGAAAGTCTGCTGCTAACCCTTTCTCCTTTACTGTTAGTCATCACAGTTGTTTCCTTTCATGTCGGGCAGGTGTTTCGGGACAGGAAATGTGTATTTTTGGCAGCCTTCTTTACAGACACACTGTGATGTGTTCATTTCGTTTTGATATCCTGTACGGTTAGATAATGTTCAACAGATGCGGATCAGTTTGGGTGTTTTCCGGTTTGATAAGAATATTGGTTTGCAAATCATTGTAATCTGGACCGAGACAGGTTTTCCCTGCAGTATTCTATTTTAAAACATCATTTAGGATTTAAAAGGAAACTATATATTTTTTGGGGTGTAAAAGAGATCAGATCAATGTGGATATTTGTATTGACTCCAGTCAAAACTATTAAAAAACACAAAAAAAACCTTTTGCTGTAATACCTTTAATCTAGAGCTGTCCCCAACAGTACTTTTCCACCACTAGATGTTATGACGGACTGAACCGTCACTGGGGCTGCTGGAGGAGCCTGAGGACTAGCCTCCTTCCTACTGACTATGGACCTAGTACTATGGAGACTCCCCTCAGGCCTCTTGGGGTTATATGGAACTATTATCCAAGGTTTATGTGTGGAGTGAAAATACTGCATGTTTCCTCTGACATTACATTTAAGTGACCCTGTGTTCATTATAGGTAGCACGCTGTCTGGAGTGGCCATTGTTTGGGATGATCAAGCTCTTATCTGATTAAGGACATTCATTAGGTTCAAAGAGTGTCTGTGCTTAAGGAATTCCAATGCGGCACCCGGCTGTCTAGGGAAGGGGATTGGTCAATGTAACACACTGAACTCTTATCTGATTCTGTGAGGTATAAACTCTGTGTACTTTCTTCAATAAACCAGTTCTTGGTTTCCACTTCAACATTGGTGTTGTCTGATGTTTGAGGAGTTTCGTTTTCTGTCCTAAGATATTGGTTTCGTCCAATAATTAGGCAGGTTTGGGCTGAGGACACTGGAATTTGGGTTCCAGCTGAGAGGAAGCTGATTTCTGATGGAGGTACCCAGTCGGGGTACCAGACGGTCCGTCGCAGATGTCCTCAGTCTTCTTAGTTTAATGACAGCCAGCATCATTCAACACTACCTCTGACCCCAAGCTGTCATGGTCCCGCCTCCAGCCTATGGTTGGACAGTGAGGGTGATGCAGTACAATGATGAGCTCATCTCTCGTCACCAAAGCATAGGATTAAAGCACCGCTTCTCCGCGGCTTTAGCAGGGGAAAGACACCCGGGTGCTTGCCGGCAGGATTGTGTCCTCGCTCCAACCAAACAGGTATATAGTAAAGGAAGAATCCAGCTGCACTCCGTTCCATGCTAAATCAGTTCATTGAAAGTTCGTCAGTGACCTCGGAGGGGCATCTGTGTCACTGACAAACTTCAATAAACTGATTCAGCAGGGAACGGAGTGCAGCTGGATTCTTCCTTTTACTATATACCTGTTTTATTGGAGCTCATCTTTCTCATCTCTCACTGCTTTCTCCTCCAGTCAGCATGCTACTTGCAGTGCATACAGTCCATGAATCGACTGGCTCCTTTTGCTGCTTACCTCTCCCAGTCCGACCTCTGCTGTATAGTGAACTGCAAGTCAAATTCAGGTACTTACACTTCTTGCTCAACTGCATAGTCTTCTGATCGCCTTGTTGCATTTCTTTTGATATATGGTGTCAGGGTGCTTCGGTGTGAGATTAAAGAAGAGCCGACAGTACCAGAATCGTCATTAAAGACCAACTGCAGTCATCAGTTAAAAATGAAAAAAGCAGCTCCAGTTGTATACCCACTTCTTCTCCAGTGCTGATCCCCACAGACTTACCTGGTCGCCCATGCAGTGCTGTTCCTCTTTCAGCTTGAATGACACCCAGCACTATTTAACCACCTTCTGTAAGCCCAGGCTGTCATGGCTCCTCCCCTTGACCTGGACTGACAGGAGAATGCTGCCACTTCATTACAAGGAGCTGCCGTCTGCAGCATTTAGGATCCACCCAATTCCAGGATAGGAAGAGGGTGAAGAGGAAACGAGACAGGAGCAAAGATACCTGGAAAAAGGTATTATACTGATTCTCTTTTTATGAGTTACGAGCTGCTTCGATAGGGGTGAAGTGGGGGGCTGGGAGAGATCCCAAGCTTGGAGTTGAATTTAGACCTTAGTTCAGCCATTTGCAAAGCTGTGAACTGCAGTTTTGAATGTTTATTAATGTACTTGGAACTTTCGGGTGCTTTGTTACTCTTTTGCATAAAACGCACAGAGGGGAACTCATCCTAGGAAAGGAAAGGAACCTGCACTGGGAGAGAGAAGGCGGTGACTGGTCCAAGTGCAAACATGGCAGGATACTGGTCCCAGTACAGGGAACCGGTCCTAGTACAAATTGGTGGAAAAAAAATGTCAACACACAGGGCGCAAGGGGTTCTTCACAGTTAGAGCGGTTAAGGTCTGGAACTCACTGCCACAGGAAGCGATTTCAGCTAAGAGCGTGGAATCATTCAAGAGACTACTGGACAAGTTCCTGGGTGACCAAAACATTCAGGGGTACAGGTATAGCTAACAGAAAAATCACGCATGGACTCATACACGCACACATCAACTCATAAATGCACAAACACAATAGGTTGGACTTGATGGACCTATGTCTTTATTCAACCTCAAATACTATGTAACTATGTATACTATGTAAGGACATTAAGGTTCTGGTCTCAGTACAAGAACGGCATGAAACAGCGGGAACTGAACCTAGTAAAGTAACAGCAAGATACTGGTCCCAGTTTAGGGGCAGCAGGGTACTGGGCCCCAGTGCAGGGGCGGCAGGGTACTGGGCCCCAGTGCAGGGGCGGCAGGGTATTGGGCCCCAGTGCAGGGGCGGCAGGGTATTGGGCCCCAGTGCAGGGGCTGCAGGGTGCTGGCCCCAGTGCAGGGGCGGCAAGGTACATGCCCTAGTAGAATAGGGGTGGGGAACCTCTGGCCCTCCAGCTGTGGTGAAACTACAAATCCCATGAGGCATTGCAAGATTCTCACAGCCACAGGCATGACTTCCAGAGACAGATGCATCATGGGATTTGGAGTTTCACCACAGCGGGAGGGCCAGAGGTTCCCAACCCCTGTAGTATAAAAACGGGAGGAACCTGATCCCAGCAGAGGAATTGGAGGGAAAGAGTTCCACTAAAGGAACATAAAGAAACTGGTCCCCATAAAGGATAACAAGGGACTAAATAATGGAATAATACTATCTAACGCTTCACAGCTGAAATGCTGAGTCTTCCTGTGCTGCAGTTCCATCTAGGGGCCGCTGTAGCTTCTTTGATATTGTCCCTCGCTGGCTTCCGTCCCTAGGCCTCTACGCTCATCCACCTCCCACGCCAGCTCTGTTTTCCTCCGAAGCCCTTCAGCCAATCAGCTTTGGTGAGCGCCTCGTCCAGCGAGCCCCGCGCATGCGTAATGTCACCGGCGCGCCATCTTGACAGAGGGAGCCGCAATCAAACCCGCTGGATCTGTGCTGGCCAAGCGGCGGCTTCTCCCTCGGAGAGCCGGGAGGCTTCCTTCCGCGAGCGTCTTACGAGGGCTTCTCGAGTGTTCCGCCATTGGTGTACCCCCTGACAAGGGCGGGCTGGAGCCTCCCTCTGTCACAGGGGTCCCCCTCAGGAGAGTGACAGGGTCTGCAGGGAGTGATGCCTTCAAGTCCTAAGTGATCGCAGAGGACGTCGGGACAGGATGCCTGTGGTGTGGCCCACCCTCCTGGACTTCAGCCGGGATGAGTGTAAAAGGATCCTCCGCAAGCTGGGTAACTATTCCCTCCATTCTCCCTTACACTCCCCTCTTGGCGTAGCGCGCATGCGCGGCCTTCTATGTGTATAAATGATGGAGGTCACGCCCCCTCCGTGACGTCAATGCTCTGCACGGCGTATTGTAAACACGGGGGGGGGGGCGGCTTCGCCTGCAGGGGGCGCTGTGCCCACTGTCATTACATGTCATCACTTGGCAGTGATTTAAAAAGAACCTGTCACATAGAGCAGGGCACATGACTGGGCTCTCCTCCTATCTGCTGCTGCTCTCTATATTGTCTTTTTTATTTTGAAATATTAACATCTTAAAATGTGAAATGCAGATGCAATGAGGGTTTTATTGAAGCATCGTCCTTGTCTTGCTATTTTCTAATAGTCTTCTGGCTGGTCACATGATGCTCTTGATCCACTTTGGTCTTTTCCCAGCGGCGACCAGTCCTGATTGAAGAAGAGGGCGGCCCTGACAAAAGGACGTCAATGCTGCTCTCTGCATCCGTATACTTAAAGCAGAACTCCGGGCATAATTATTCCTAACCCTTACACTGGTGTTACCACTTCACAGCAAGGGTTAAGTGCTTGTTTTGGTCTAGGGAGAAAAATATCAGTTATACTCGCCTAAACCTTGGAGGCGGCTGGCTGTTAGAACGCCCACTGCAGCCTCGCTCCCTCTTGGATCCAGCGGTCTAAGGTCCTGTGAGTCATCACATTCCATACAGTGTATAGGATGTGAGGATGCTGTGGGACATACCATCGCTGGAGTAGAGGAGGGGACAGGCAGTAGGAACCGAACTAGGAAGTAGGCGGCTCCCTAGACTAAAACGAGCACTTAACCCTTGCAGTGCCGGGGTAGCCCCACTGCAAGGGTTAAGAATCGTTATGCTGGGAGTTCTTCTTTAACCACGACAGTACCAGGTTCTTACACCACCTTCATTACCAGGCCAGTTTTTAGTGAGATAGCAAATATATATATATATATA